ANCCTTTGTAAAATTTTAATTTTAAAAAAAATGCAACAAAATATTAGTGTTGGTCAACAACAACAACAAGCCTTCACTAATTATTATGAACAACAACCATCATCATCTAATAACAATATAATAACATCATCATCATCATCATTTAATTCTAATATTAATAATAATAATAATAATAATTCTAATAGAATGAATCAAAAAGAAATATATACATATAATTCAGATTGGATGATATATTCACTTTCATGGTCAGTTAGAAGAGATGAAAAGTATAGACTTGCAATTGGATCATTTATAGAAGAATATAGAAATAAAGTAGATATAATTAAATTAAATAATGATAATATATTAGAAAGAGTTGCACAATTTGAACATCCATATCCTGCTACTAAAATACAATTTCATCCTTCTGCTTCTATTAATAATCCTGATTTAATTGCTACTTCAGGTGATTATTTACGTTTATGGAATATTAATAATAATTCAACAACTACAACTACAACTACTAGTAATAATAATGTGAATAATAACATTTCATCACAACAACAACAACAAACAGTTCAAACAGTACAAAAATATCATACATTTAATAATGATAGTTCAAGTGAATTTTGTGCACCATTAACAAGTTTTGATTGGTGTGAATATAATCCTAATATGATTGGTACTTGTTCAATTGATACAACATGTACAATATGGGATATTCCAACAGGTAAATCTAAAACACAACTTGTAGCACATGATAAAGAAGTTTATGATATTTCATTTAAAGATGAAAATATATTTTGTACAGTTGGTGCAGATGGTAGTTTGAGAATGTTTGATTTACGTTCATTAGAACATTGTTCAATTTTATATGAACATGAACAATTACAACCTTTATTAAGATTAGCATGGAACAAACAAGATCCAAATTATATTGCTACCATTTCAATGGATTCAAATATTATTGTTTTAATTGATATTAGATTATCTTCAATTCCATTAATGAAATTATCAGGTCATTCTAATTCTGTTAATTCAATTTCATGGGCTCCTCATTCTTCAAATCATTTATGTTCTGTTGGTGATGATGCTCAAGCTTTAATTTGGGATGTTAGAAGTGGTTTTAATAATAATTTAAATGATCAATATGATAATTCATCATCACAACAACAACAA